AGGCCGAGGTGGGAGGATCTTTTGAGCTCAGGAGTTCGAGACTAGCCTGAGCAAGAGCGAAACCCGTCTCTACTATAAATAGAAAAATTAGTCGGGCATCGTGGTGTGCACCTGTAGTCCCAGCTGCTTGGAGGCTGAGGCAGGAGGATCGCTTGAGCCCAGAAGTTCGAGGCTGCAGTGAGCTATGATGACACCACAGCACTCTAGCCCAAGTGACAGAGTGAGACTCTGTCTCAAAAAAAAGAAAAAGAAATTACCTATTCTATAAATATCACTATCTATTTCTTTTAAAAAGCGGGGATGCTTATCACCTGAGAGCCCCAATTTAAACTGGAACAGGAAGAAAAGGTGGCCTTCCACCGTCGGTGTGTGAGGAAGGCCACACAGACGAGACAGCATCATATGTGACAAAACCGCACGCGAGGTAAATGCTGAGGTAGAGAAGACCTCTGCCCACGTGGTTTAGAGAAGAATGGGAAGGGGAACCTAGCGGACCTACCTTTTTTATGAGGCCCAGAGGTAAACAATTGTACAAAACATCACGTGACTGGGAAGAGAATTTGCACAAAGAATAAGAAATGGCCGCTGTACAAAATCTGAAAATAGAAAAATAATATACAAATGTGATCCACATAGAATAAAGCATGAAGAAAAAGTAAGTGTGACTTTCACAAAATCGAGTTTAGTGCACCCTAAACCAGACGGTCCAAGCCTCAGTGCTGGGTTTAGAAAACCTTCCCGCAGCCTCTCACGGGCTCACCCACGACGGGAGCATCTCCCCTGAGCTGGAGCCACGGCCACCACAAGCTCCTGCCACACTGAAGACAGACACGAGGCAACACGCGAGCACTTGGACCGTGTGCAAACACAGGTTTGTGTTTCCCTGTGCACACGCGTGTGGACAACAACCACCCCAGAAACAAAAGCAACGGAGAGGGTGTGGCCAGGCCCCTAGTGGTGGGGAGGACGCTCTATGAGAGGCACAGACACCTTTCGCTGTGTGTGCTGTGACGTGAGAGGAAGTCTACACAACCACAGAGAAGATGTGCTCACTTCAGCATGGCCCCTGCGCAAAGATGACATGAAGAAAATTTAAAAAAAAAAAGAACTACACAGAAAAGCTTGTGCCGTGTTTCTGAGATGATCACGTGTTCATGCAGAGAGTGAACGCAAGGCAGCTTCAGCCGCGCCTGCAGCGTTGCCCACAGCAGGCCGTGGAGCGTGGGTGAGGATGGGCGAGGACAGAACTGTCGCCGGGGCCCAGGGAAGGTGACAGAGGCCACATTGCTGCCATCCTTGGGTGCCACCAGGTCCGCACGCAGGCTGCCCCTTCACCCTCCCCTAACGTGCTGGCAGGAAAACAAGACACACTCCCAAGCACCAGCCGAAGGGAAAACAAGACAATCCCCACAGGAGGAAGTAACAGTGAACAATCAGCACCCACGTGAACAATCAATTCTCACTCGTACCCAGGGAGCGTCAGAATGAGAGTCCACAAGGCAAAGGTGACTTTAAAATGACCATTCCCAGCACAGATCACTGCTGCGATATTCTTAGTGTCCTGGGTGTCTTTTATAAACACAGATGTACACATCACTCCCTTCCCTTCTTCCGTAAGAGGCAGTACGAGATACGCAGCCCAGCTGTCGCTCTCTTTAGTTGCACACATATCCAGAGGCCTCTTTCCTTCCTTTCCCAGTGGGTGGTGATGTCCCTCCCCAGCTCCCAACCTCGACGTGTGGCTGTCTTGTGTCACCGCTGCACAGAGGCAGACAGACATCCAGCACTGTGTGTTCTGGGCTCTGGGGCCGGCGAGGCACCCAGGACGACTCCTCACGGGCCATCAGTGTTGCCAAATGCCCGGGAGGGGCTAGACCACTCTGCGCCCCAGCGGTGCTGTGTGCCTGCTGCCTGAGGTCCACACATGGTGGGTAGGCAACCTGCACGGGCTGTCACCTCTGTGTACACCTCTTACACCTTTTCTCAGAGAGCCCCCCATCGGTGCCTCCGCCCACACCTTGTCCTAATGCCAACTGCCCACTTGGCCCCCACAGGGTCTCTTGGGCATTGTGATGGTGCTCTCCGCCTAACCTGGGCTTAGCTCTGCCCATGGAGCCCAGGAGCTGGCCCCAGTCCTCACTACCAACTCCCACTAGAGTCTCCTGGCCTCTGGCCACGACGAGCCCATCCCCACCCTACACAGTCCCCAGGGGCCTCCCTTCCACTCAGCACAGGCCCCGGCGTGCTGTCAAGGGGCCCTGCAGAGAAGGGGGCAGGGGCAGGAACGGGACTTGAACAGCCCTGCCCAGTGAATACGTGTGGACTGAATGCACAGTGGGGTGTGTACTGACACAAATTGGTAGGGTGAGCATCTCAAAACCCTGCAAGTTTACTTTTTGACTGTGTAGTTCCCTTGGGATTCACCCTAGAAAGACAGTGCATACTGCATGGCTGCTGAATGCCGGGAAACCCAAAACCAAACCATAGGGAACTGGTTCAACCTACTGCCGACAACCCCAGGACAGATGCAGCTCCCAGGTCGTGGAAGGAAAACAATGATGTGGAAAGACATTTACAATCTGTTATTAATTTTAGTAAGGTTAATTTCAGCAGTTTACTAAAGTAGTATGACCCCATTTTTATAGACAGAGAAACAAACCTGCACATCACACATAAAGTGAAGTCCCAGAAGGATATACACTGAATGCTAGCAAGTGACTCCCTGGGGGTGGTATGGTTTTCTGCATGCCTGTTTTTTCCAATTTTATCTAGTGACCATGTGTTACTTTTCTTGAGAGAGGAGGGAGGAGGTGACTGGGCAAGAGTGGAGGCTTACTTCAGGCAGAAGAGTGAGGACTCCCTCGTCCTGCAGGTGAGGAGGCTGTCGAGCAGGTCGGGGAAGGCAAGGCCCCCGGCAGGGGCAGGAGGACCCACATCTACCTCTGGGAACGCAGACCTGGACTCGCCCAGGTGGACAGCCAGAGCGGCCAACCCCAGCACGTGTGAGGCACTCAGGCTCAGGCCCTGGAAGGAGAGTGAGGGCTGGTGGCAGAGCGGACAGCCCGCCTCCCAGCTGGAAGGTCCGAGGCACTGAAGACAAGCCGGAAACAGGTGCCTACCTGGAGGCGGAGCAGCTGGCAGAGCCGGGAAAGCACCTCTGGCAGCAGCGAGCACCCACACACGGTCCTCACGAACAGGGTGGCCCAGGGGCCCTGCCTGCACGGACAGCCCCAGCACCGTCAGCACCGGCCACCCTCGGCCCTGCACGTGCCCCAGTGGGCAGCCTAGGCACAGGAGCCCCAGCAAGAAGCCAGATCATTCCCCATAACAACCAGCTTCTGTGGCTTCCTGCCGCGTCCCCACGTGTGGGACTCGGCACTGCCGTCCCTTCCTGCCCGGCAGAGCTCCCCCGGCCCATGGCCTCAGCACAGCAGGAAGAGGCACCTAGAGCAGGTCAAACCACTCAGTGAGACTTTTGAGCCTTTACCTCTCTGGGGGCGCGAAGCTGGAGGCCACCATCAGGTTCTGACAAAAAGACGTCAGCAGGAGATCCACCACCTGCAGAGACACGATCCTGAGAAGGTATCCCACGGACCAGAGCAACGTAAAGTAACCCTGACGTCCCATTCACACCACTGACACTGCGGTTCTGCTTCGCAGACAGAACTGTAAGACAGGCTTGCGTTTGGAGAGAAAACAACAACACACGTCGGTACCAAGGACCCCTCCCCAAATCCCAGGACTAGAACAGGCCAACAGTTGTTATGCCATCTCCAATCATGGAACACGACACTAGTGACGCTCTGTAAGAACCAAAAAATACAATATCAGGCTTTGGGGCTGCAAATGGCCTTTGTCACGTATTCTTTATTAACAATGTAAAAAGAGTTCTCCACACACAGAAAGGCTGGGGGAGAACGGACTGACCCTGGTACACACCACCCAGGCCCTGGACATCTGATTTCAACATGTATAGTTACCCAGCAAAACAAACGCACATCAAGAAGAGTGTACACGTAGGACTTTCTGCATGATCTGAGGAACAGCTGAGCCCCTGGAACTGTATCCAAAGGTGCTCACACCCACCTCCTGTTCCTGCTGCTTGAGTTTCGGAGTGACAACGCTGAGCCGAACCTTTGACATCTCACAGCTGCCGTCATCCTTACCGTGACGCGAGGCAGCGCGCAGTCTTTCAGAAATCACTGCCATCTGCGCAGATACAACTGCAAGCAAGACACGAGTCGGCTAAGGGAAACGTGGGTGGAGAGGTGTGTGGGGCTGGACTGCAGGGGAGCCCCGGCCTCCCTACAGGTGTGACCCCTCCCCTGGCCCTGCGCCGCTGCCAGGCAGCAGCGAGGTGAGTTTTTCCACGTTGGAGGTGGGGTCGTGAAAATGCCGGGAGGCTGCAGCCCTGAGACACTGGGCACGTGCTGGCGTCCACCCACTGCTGCTCCCTGATTGCCTGAGGGGCCAACACCCTCCTTCACCAGTACAAACCTCCCCCTTCATCTTCTCCGTCTGAAACCCCAGGCCGGCTCTCCCAAGCACCGTGCATCTGTCTGAGCATGTGCCAGAGGCCCTCCTGGACACCAGCTATCCAGAGACCACGACACATGGGCCCAACTACGCCACTCAAACGTGAAAATCTGTTGCTTTTAGAAAGAGGGCAGCTCTGACATTTATCAATCTTTTGATTAAATGCTGGAACTTTTCCTCAACATCCCCCGAACACCACATTCTGCGCAAGCACCGTCTCGAAAGGGGTGCTCGTGACATTCTCGGCTTGGCTCAAGCAGAGGTCGTGTCTGAGGCGCCACGCGCCAGCCAGGGCAGCCACACGAAGGAAGCTGTGCTAATATTTCCTCCATGAGACGCTCGGTCTGGGTTTGAATGACGTTGATTCATAATAAATATAAAGCTACTACAGCCACTCAGTAAAAACATGGCATATTAGTCTTAGACTCTGCACGTGTCGTAATAACGACCTAAAAGTGCGTCACGGCTGTGGAGCGGCAGGTGCTCTGAAGCTGGTGCTGACTGTGGGCAGACGCGCACTTGCTGTTTTATGGAACAGCCGTGTGGAGGCAGGATCACAGGGTGAGACGCAACGTGTGTGACGTTGCGTCTCCTCAGGCAGAGAGGATGAGGAAGAAAGCCACACGTCCTCCTAACTTCTCTTTCCTTTCCCCTTCACCTGCCCTACTCAGATGCCAAACAGCAGAACGTCCATCTTCTGCCAAGGGTTTGTGACAGCTCGGGTGGGACCGAGTCCGCTGTCTCTGAAAGAAGGCAGAGCCTTCAACACCCGTCAGCCCACGGTCAAGTCCAACCACCACGGGCTGGACCGCACTCCACCCACAGGTGCACACGCTCGGACACAAGCACCTGTGCTCACCATCGTATCGGTCGGGGTCTCTCATGCAGGCTCTGAGCTCTCCCAGCGCAGCCGTGAGCTGTCCCAGGGCCTCCTCAGCACAGCCAGGCTCTGTCCCTGTTCCTGGGGCTGCATCTGAGAGGGGTGGGCAGTTTTAACAGTCAGGCCAGACTGGAAACACATTTAACAGGACTCTCCATTATGAAAAGGGAAACCACACCCAGTTGAAGACGAACTGTTCATTCCCACGGCTGATGGGGCGCTGGAGTCTAGGGGAGGCAGATGGACTCCCCTCTCTGATGGTAGATGCTGTCATTTCAGAAATTAAAACATTTATAATGCCTAAGGAAAAAAATGGTTCTGCGTACAGCATCGTCGCAACAGTGAAAAGCACACGCATAGCGGGAAAAGACCAAGGCACAGCCGGAAGGTGAGGGCTGGGAAGGCTGGGGCAGAACCACACATCAGGGTTTAGTCCCTGTCCTCGAACTGCTAAGGAACATGGTCACACTGCGTTTTACAACAGAATGTGGAAGACGACAGGGAATTAGCATACGAGAGACAATGACCAATGCGCAACAAACACTGGATAGATTTACTATAAAGAGACTAGACCTGATTGCATACTTGAAAAGATGCTTGTTTAAACCTCCAACACACCATTTTCAATATGACAAGGAAGATACACCACGTTTTAAAAGCAAAACAAGTTCAAGCTCTGGGGCTGCGGAGACACAGGCATAAAAACGTACCACAGCACACGCAGGTCTCACCCAAAACGAAATTAGAACCCACAGGCTCTGAGGTTCTGCTCCTAAGCTCTATCAGACAAATTATGAGAAAACGCACTGCAAGTCCCCAAAACTAGGACTGAGTACTTGGGAAGGCCCAGGGTTGAGGAGCACAGCTCTCAGGAGTGGACCCTCCTCCTCCTTGGTGGACGCGGCCCCCACCACGACATCCCAGCGCAGCCGTGAGCTGCTCCAGTACTGGTCCAGGTGGGAGGCCAGGACCTTCATTCTCTGCCCACCGAAGTTTCCTGGGTCTCCATAGTCGTTGGAAATTTTCTAAGCTTGTGAAAGGAGGGGTTTTGGCAAACAGAACTGGAAGACAGGGCTACAGTTAGAAAAGTCTCACTTGGCCTACCTGGCCCTACAGATGTCAAACACAAACACTGGTCCCTCCTGACAGCCTCTCCCTGTTGCCCTGGTGAGTCGGGAGCCCCGGGCACCAGGGGCTGCATCGCTGGTCCCTGAAGAACCCCGGCTCATACTGCTAATGGAACTGTCTGAACGGTCAGAAAGTGACGCACCCAGTCCAAGGCCACACACTTCAGCACCAAGGCCGTGGGCCGAGAGGGCACCTGGACCTCAGACTGAGGCACGGGACAGGCACACAGAAAACACATCCTGGCCTCAGCCAGGCACAAACAGAGATGGCGGATCACAAAGTGGGACTCTGTGCTGCACACAGCACATGCTAAGCAAGCGCTACGCCAGGTGACTTCGCAGGACCTGCAAGGACAGCGGCCTGTGAGCCAGCCCCTCCCGCGCCAAAACTGGCCTGTGCCGTCAGGGGTGGGGACCCCCCTGAATCCAGTGCACCGGCCCCAGCCGGCGCCACCTCACACACGAGCTCACGGCGCAGGCTTTGGAAGACAGAGTCAGGGAGCTGCAGGTGCGCAGGCGAGGCAGGTGGGCAGCCGTGAACCTCACCTTCTGGAGTCTCCTCTTCGGCAGCGGAGCAGGCGCGGCAGTAGGCGGAGTACAGAGGTGGGGGGATCTTATCTGCTCTGGGTTAGAAGAAAACAATAAAATCAAGTCAACTATGACTAGAATTAATTCTGAAATTTACAATTCCAAAAATTATTTTAAAGTAAAATTATATTCAGTTTGAATAAATTACATTAATACAACACTGTGTGGTATGCACAGTATGGTCCTGTTTTAAGGAAAAATCATACATATGATTAAAAATGTACATATACTGATTTAAATGGTACTGTTTCAGAATAAGTCACATTAATCACATATTAGTATCTGAGAGATTAGACTTTTAACCACAGTGGTTACCACTGGGCAGTGGGATTATAAATTATTTTTATTTATCTCATTCAATTTTTGATAATTTCCAAATTCAAAAACTGAATTTATATTACTTTTAACGAATAACACTAAGAAAAACACTCGATGTCACTAAAAACAAGCAGAATTGTAAAGCAAAGTCCTGTAATAAGGACACGGGCACCAGAGGGGCTGGTGTTGCTGACTCGTGGCAGCGCTGGTGGGGCAGGAGCCAGGACTGGCCTCCAAGGTGCAGGACGCTGTGAGCAGAGCGCTCGGCCCGGGCAGGCACCCTCCTTCAGGCACAGGTCACGAAGCCGCCGTGTGTCGGGGGAGCACTGCAACCCCCAGCACAAGCAGGTGGTCACGCGGCACCAGAGACCGCACGGCAGACGGCACGGCGCTCGGTGAGACCAGCGCCACACTAGGAAAGGCTGAGTGGAGAGCGCAGCATGTGCGCCCTGGCGCGACTGCTGGGCCTGTCCCCAAGCCACCCTGCAAACGGAGCTCAGCCAGACACAGACAGAGAAGAACGAGGATGCAGCTGTGCTCCAAAGTTAAAGCCCCATCACGACAGACCAGAATTCAGGAAGAGAACTCACACTGCACACCATGTACCGCTTTGGTGATTAGAAAGCTATAGCTTAACAAATAGAAACCGACTCAGAGAAAAAGCAAATTCACATAAATGGAGATATTAACAGGAAACTTGAGACATCGCTGACACTGTAAGAGAGGTGAGACACAGCACTGCAACCGTGACACCGCTGACAGCAGACGGCCATAAGGGACACTCCGACAGCAGAAATGGAAACGTCAACCAAACGAGGGGCAGGTAAAGTGACGGCATCTGCCAGAAAGGAGGGAGAAGGGAGGAAAAACAAAGAAAATATGTCAAAGAGGAAAAAAATCAGAAGATCAGTCAAGGAGGTCTAAAAACTAAAAAATAGAGGCCTTCCAAGGAGAAAAAGCCACAGAAGGGAAGGGTATCTTCAATGAAACAGTGAGGGAAGAAACAATCAGCGTGTGGGACTTCCTTCAGCGTGACCCGGACAGCGGACAGCTGGGGAATTTGAGGCGTATACGTGGAACGAGACTGGCCGTTTGTGGAGACTGTTAGAGCAACAGACACTATTCCACTTTTCTATCTGTTAGGAATTTTTCATAACGGTTTAAAAATACCCAAGAAAATTTCTTAGTATTGAAGGACCATGAGTTTCCAAAGGCACACCACGTGCTCAGCCAAGAAATAAAATTAGACCCCATCGGAATACATCGGTATAAAATTTCAGAACATGAAGAACAAAGAGAAGACACTATAAGGCCACATGCAAAGAATCAGAAATTGTAACAGCTTCTAACTTCTCGACAGCAGCGCTGGAAGCAGGAAGGCACTGGACCAACACTGTTTACAATGTGAGGAACGACTTTCCAACCGAGATTTCTATCCCCAGCTAAACTACCAATCAAGTTTGAGTGCTGAATGAAGGTGTCAGCAAAATTTACTTCCATCCTTTCTTAAGAAGCTCGAGTGTCCATTAACAGATGAATGGATACAGAAAACGTGGTATATACACAATGCAATAGTGTTTAGCTATAAAAAAAGAATGAAATTCTGTCATTTGCAGCAACACGAATGAACCTGGAGGACATTATGTTAAGTGAAGATCAGCTAGTCACAGAGAGGCAAATGCTGTATGATTCCACTTCAGAGCAGTCAAATCACAGAGACAGTAAGTAGCAGGGTGGCTGCCAGGGGCTGGGGGAG